ACCAGGGAGCATCCTGCAGAGTCGGGTCAAGCTATCAGCCCAGGCCCTGACGCCCTGTGGGACCACCGCTGGGGCCTCGGATAGGAGTCTCAGCGAGTCAGGCCCATTGTCCCCTTGGAAACCTGCGGGGCTGGGAGGGATCAGAGAGCCCGCGGCTTCAGTGGGGCTGGAGGACAGGGGTGTGCCAACCCTGGGCAGCCCTGGTACCACCTGCCACCAGGCGCACAGAGCCCCCTGAACAAACTTTAGCTGCCACCACCAAGCCCATAAATGCCATCCCCAGGGGCCACAGAGGTAATTGAGTGTCTCCGTCTCCAGAAGCACCTGCATCTCTCAGCGGCAGCTGCGGCGGCTGAGCGGTAAATCACGGGGCTGGGTGTATTTCTCTGGGGCTGACATCTTCTGATAAATAATGCGGGCTGTGAGTTCAGGCAGTGGCAGGAGACTGACTTCCACTCTCTTCTGTTTTTAAAGTGACCTTCTTTCTCAGTCAAACTGGAAAGAACCTAGAGGCTCGTCTATGGGGCCCGGCCATGCGCCAGGTGACACAGGGACACACACCTCCCAGTTCTTTGCTCTGCCCCTCCACCGAGTCTCCTAGCAGGGAGGACGCTGGGCTCATTTGGCAAGCTCTGCACCAACTGAACACGCGGACGCCCTGTGACCTGGAGAACCACTAGCCCAGGTGCCTGGGGACGCGTGTTTCTTGAAGCCTGACAGATTTATAGGAAAGATCTGGAAAGCTCCTGAAAGTGAAATATGAAGACCTACAGTTCAGCAAAGCAGGACCAACCTTGAGATCTTTGGCAGGGATTTAAATTTCTTTTTTTCTTTTGATTGAACTCAGGGGCACTTGACCACTGAGCCCCATCCCCAGCCCTTTTTATATTTGATTTAGAGACAGGGTCTCACTGAGTTGCTTAGGGCCTCACTAAGTTGCTGAGGCTGGCTTTGAACTCACGATCCTCCTGCCTCAGCCTCCCGAGCTGCTGGGATTATGGGCATGTGCCACTGCGCCCGGATTTTGCAGGGATTTAAGAGAATAAGATGGGCTTTAGTGTACTGGTAAGCAAAGATCTCCAAGATACATTGTGAAGGGAAAGAAACACACCATCAGAATTCAGAAATAGTATACATAAAATAGCATCGTATAATTTATGATTTTAAAAGCCAACCGATATGCCCTTTGCTACAAGTGCATATACCTGACATAATTACATAGAGAGAGGTGTGGAAGGGTGCGCTCCAAACAGAAGATGGCTGATCCCTGTGGAAAGGGAGATAAGATTGGAGAGTTGGCCCAGAGGATTTTAGTCTTCTATTTTAATTTCTTTTTTATTCATAATACTACTGAGTGTGCTGGGAGCAATGATCACCTACCCAGGCATGAGTGGAACATAAAATGAATTGTACCTCAACTTCATGTCATGTTATGAATCGGGAAATCATTTCATTTATATGAAGAAAGAAATTAATTCCTTTATCTTGAGATAGAGATTTGTAATTATCCTTTCTTTACCTCGTCCAACGCTTTTCTTTTAGAAGAAGAGTGGTAACTCTACTAGTTTTCCTTAAATCCAATATTCTTCTCATTATCATAGCAATGGTATTTATGCTATGATATCATTGAATCCCCCCATCCCTGACCCCAGTGGAGATTTCATTCTAAAGCTCAGACATTTTGAATCTAGCTATAAATATTTCTCTGAAACTGGGCATGATAGGTTTGGATTCAGAACAAAAAAGAGTTGAAATTCTGTACAGTGTGGCCATGTTGGAATCCTGAAATGAGAGCCCACTAGAAATGTATTTGAAGAACTGGGCATGGTAGCCCACCGCTGTATTCCAGCTATTTGGGAGGCTGAAGCAAGAGGATCATGGGTTTGAGGCCAGCCTCAGCAACTTAGTGAGAGTCTGTCTCACATTAAAATAAAAAGGGCTGGGGATGTGGCTCAGTGGTAGAGTACCTGCCTAGCAAGTGTGAGGCCCTGGGTTCAATCCCCAGTACTGCAGAAATTAAAAAATAATACTAATAAAGGAAAAGGAAAGGAAGGAAAAAATTTTGTAGAAAATTCATTTTGATTTTACATATTTTGGGGTCTGGTGAGATCATTCAATACACGCCTATAACACGTAGTGATCAAATCAGGGCAATCAGCATTTCCATTTTTCAACATTTACCTGCACTTTACTTTACGCTCTGGAGGCAGGAAGTCCTCACAAGAGGACTTGTGCAACTTGTGCAACTCACAGAGCTGGAGGTGGAGGCCCTGTCTATTCAGGTGAGACCCGCCTTCTGCAGACCTCAGCTCTCCCATCTCTGTGATGAGCACGCTGGACTAGAGAAGCCCGATGCTTCTTTCCAACTCAGAATGTCTCGAATTCTGGTTTTAATTATAATTCAAAGGAAAGGTTCACAATGATCAGGGCTTCTCGCCATGGGCCCTGGCACACAGTAGGCCCTGAATCAACCTCTTCTGCTGAATGTTGAATGCTAAATAGCATTCCTTAAACACTTTTAGTAACAGGACAGATTGACCCACACACTCTGCCAGGTGATCAGTCCAACACCTGGATAAACATCAGAGAGCCATGGTAGTGGGGCAAATCCAAATACAGGCTTCATCAGGGGTTCAAATCCTAACTCTTCCACTTACTTGCTGTGTGACATTGCGCCAACCATCCACCCTCTCTGAGCCACAATGGCTACCGAGCTATGGCTAAATAGGTTCCCATTTCTACTCTAGCCTTACTGCTATGATAATCATCCATTCACCAAACCTTTATTGAGCACAGACTGTAAGCCAGCCCCTGGGACACTGACATGTCCCCAGGAGAGACAAGGAGTTCCTTCTTACAAGTGTCCAAGTGTCTCGTTTGCCCCCTGACCCTCCGTGGTTCTAGGTGCAGGCAATTTCACTCGCTGGGTCTGCCCCAGGACCTGGAGGGAGAATGCAGGGCAGGGGGAGGAGGCAAGGAGATGGGCTGCTGAGGACCCACCCTCGCTGAGGGGTGGCAGAGGAGCTGGCTCAGACCAATGCAGAGTCAGTTGCTCGGGCCTCCCGGAGTCTCACGATCTTCCTAACAGGTGAGTGATGACATCCACCTCCTGGCGTTGCTCTGAGCATTCAGGAGGTGTTCATGCTTCTAAAGCAGCTAATTAGCTGAGCATGTCCTAGGCACCAGGCTCTGGGTACAGAACACCATGAACATCCCCACATTTACCCTGACCACAACCCCAACTGATCCACGAGGAGGCACCAACAGAGAGGTTAAGCAATTTGCCCCAAATCACACAGCTGTGGATCCGCAAATAAAAGATGGGACTCCAGATGCTCTGACTTTAGACGGTGCATGGAAACCACCCCACACCCACTGTCTCTCATGCAAATAGGTGCATAAGGTGTAAGCCACGGGTTATGGGTCCTTCTTGGGCACCCTACTGTAATATGACTATGAAACTTGCACCTCATGTGACGGAGCATCGGTTTTCTCCTCTGGCCACCCCACTTCTGCCTCTGCTGCCTCATGCACTGTGGGCAGGGGAGACCGAGGTCGAAAGGATGATCAGCAAAATCAGATCATCCCCAGATCCCCCCTGCTTAAAGGGGTGCACTGACATTTTCTACCTCAAATATTTCAGTCTAGGATTAACCAGATGTGGGCCAGGCATTTGCCATTTGCTGAACATGCCCAAGGGGCAGCGTGAACCCCTGCCCCCTCTTTTGGTCGAGAGAGACCCTGCTTCAGAGCAAACGAGGCTCGAGTCAGAAGGGTGGCCTGGGCCCCCGTTGGCCTCTGACTCTTCTTTCTGTCTATCTCTTGGGCCCTGGGTTAGGGAGACCTGTGCACCTTATCTTAATCATGCATCTGCTTAATCCGTGATTCCTGATTTATGGCCATGAAGCCCTGATTACAAGAGGGTCGCCCTGGAGAGGGAAAACCAGGCAGACTCAGAGAAATGGGGAAGCCGAGGGAGGGTGGACTTAATTCATTCAAGGAGGGGTGCACCCCGGGGCCAGTCTGTCGGGGAGCCCGCTCCGGGCCATCCTGTGGGCCCATGAGCATGTTATCGTGGCCAGTGTCAAGAGGACCGGCATGGGTAGCATGAAACCGATATGGTCCTGTCTCCCAATAAAATGAAAAACCATCCAGCTCAACTTTCTCTTTTCTCTTTCTTTCTTCCTTCTTTTATTTATTTATTTTTTTAATTCTCAGTATATTGCCCAGGTTGATCTCAACTAGACTCAAGAAATCTTCCTGCCTCAGCCTCCTGGGACTGCAGGTGTGCACCACGGCACCTGGCTTTAGTTTCTTTTCTCTATAGCCACTCCCCCTCACAAACGACAATAAAAAACAAAGCACAAAGTTTTTTGTTGTTTTTTGTTTGTTTGGTACTGAGGATTGACTCCAGGGTGCTCAGCCACTGAGCCACATCCCCAGCCCTTTTTAATATTTTATTTAGAGACAGAGTCTTGCTGAGTTGCTAAGTACCTCACTAAGTTGCTGAGGCTGGCCTCAAACTTGCAATCCTCCTGCCTCAACCTCCCAAGCCCCTGGGATTGCAGGCGTGCGCCACTGTGCCTGGCTAAAATGAAACACTTAAGTAACTATTTTTTTTAACAAAGAAAATTTTAAAACTGTAACCATCTGTAAATGGAAAACTATCACGTCTTAAGTAGAAGTCAACTGTAATAATAACTATTAATATTTTAAAGTTCACACTACTATTTACAATAATCAGAAAACCATGCTTTGGAGAGGTTGGCAACAGATCCTCTTCATTTCGACCCTTTGAGTCAGTGGATATGACCTTAATTCATGGTTGAGAGTAAAGGAAGAGGAGACCCAGAGAGTCACACAGTCAGGAAGGGACAGGGGAATGCCTCAGACTGTTAGGACCAAGGCTGTCCTCGCTGAGGCCGGAAGACCTGAAGGACAACCTTGCAAATGGGATTTGGGGCTGTCAGCCAACCAGTGGCAGCAGGTGACACTCTTACCTGGCATTGAGGGTGTAGCTGCTGACGGCTGACTGTCGAGAGGGGCTCCTCGCGGTGTCTGTGGCCAGGGACAGAGTACAGCTCAGCCAGGACTGCAGACTGCCCTCTGGCTGGGAGCTGATGACGGAGAAGTTGTCTCTACAATCAGAACACAGGACTCTGCGTCACAATGACAACCGTGGAACCCCCAATATCTAGACCTTTGCTCCAAAGCACAAGCCGGGCAGGACCTTGTGCATCGTCCCTCAGGGGTGGGAGTCAGGGCCGTCCCCAGCATACAGATGGGAGTCGTGGGGTCTGCAGGGGCCAAATTTGGTCTCAGTCAAGGTCGTCCAGCTAGTTGATGACATCGAGGTCTAAGCCCTGCTCCTCTCATTTCCAATGCCCATGTTACTGACCTCTGCACTCTTCCTTGGGGAGAAACATGCTCCAAAACAGATTTTTTTGGGGGTATCAAGGATTGAACTCAGGGGCCCTCAACCACTGAGCCCCACCCCAGCCCTATTTTGCATTTTATTTAGAGACAGGGTCTCACTGAGTTGCTTAGGGCCTCGCTGTTGCTGAGGCTGGCTTTGAACTCAAGATCCTCCTGCCTCAGCCTCCCGAGCTGCTGGGATGACAGGTGTGGGCCACTGTACTTGACTTGGCATTGAATTTTATACCAAATAAGATGTCCGTGAAATAGAAAATGTGGCAGGTTTAACTCCTTATCTTAACTGGAATGTGGTTGTGAACTGGGGATTTTACTCTGTGCTCTGTGATTCTGAAAACGGCCCAGGGAGAGGTCTACACAGATACTCAATAATTATGTCCTGGTTGGTGAACCAGGAAATTGTGTGAGTGTGTGTGCGTGTGTGTGTGCGTGCGCACACGTTGTCATGGACACTCTGCACCAGTCCCCATGGACTCAACATTGACCCTGCCCTCAAGACTCTAGCCAAGCAGAGTGGAAACACATCTCATTAAGTAACTACAGAATAAAGGAGAAATGACCAGAACTGTAGGGAGGGATAGAGAAGAGAGGCTAAGACTGGCTCAGTAGGGAGCCTTGATTTGCTTCTTGGGGACACAAGGAAGGTCCCAAGTGGTGGTAGTGGAGGTCAGGACCTGGCCACACAGAAATTGCAGAAAGACATTTTCAGTGGAAGAAATTTTTGATACACATAGGTATGGGGGTCCTTAAAGGTTGAGGCACGGGTGACATGGAAAGGTAAGGTCAAAATGTGCAGAACACAAACATCCACCCAAAAGTCTGTTCTGGACAATGTGGAACCACGGAAGGTGCTTGGGGACATGGTGAGATAAGGCACCGGCTGCTCTCGGTCTATATGAAACTGGAGGTTCAGTCACACACCCCCCGTGTTATAGGCGACGACTGTGAAGTCCAGCTTTGGTGATCTCTTTCCAAGCAGGTGGGGCTGTTTCTCAAGTGAACTGCACAGAGACGCCAGGGGCTCACTTCTGTAAGCTGCTCAGCTCTACTTGGGATTCAACTTACATTTCTTTCCTGCCGCCGTTGCTACAATCCACTGCTGTCTGCACACTAGAAAGAAGCACAAGAAAGGGTGTGTTATTCTTGTGTTGCCAGGGGCCAGGGAATTGGTTTTTAACAGTAGATGTGCTGGGGGTGGAATCCCACTTCCAAACTTTGTTGCTGTGTGATCTTGGGGAAGCCACTTGCCCTCTCTGAGCGTCTTCCTTTGTGAAATGTAGCTAATAACAGGGCTCTGCCTACAGAGTTCTGGAGCAAGTAAGTGAAATAGCCCATATAAAGCTCTCAGCGTGGATCCTGGCAAACACACAGTGCTAATTAAATGGTAGCAGCCATCCCCTCTACTTTTTAAAAGTACAACCAGCACAGCTGTTATTAATAGCATCGTTACTGCAGCAAGCAGGCCATTTGTTCTAGGTTCTTTGTGAGGCCAGCAAATTAGACAGGGGGCAGGACAGCTTCCTGGGGCGCTGTGGGAGGTTCCTGAACCAATTCCCCCGCAGCCCCCTGTGGGGAGACTCCTTCCATTCAGCAGATGCGCTTCCCACAGGGTCTCCCGCCCAGCCCTGGGGTCTCGGTTGTAGAGACAGGAGCTGGGCACCTTTGTCTCGGGTCACCCCAGATCTGTGGGGCCTATTAAGGTCCTGACCGTTCACACCACCAAGCCCCAGACCCCAGGGGCCACCCCATCCCTGGGCGCGGGGCTGCCTCCTCTGCTGGGATCTGGGTGCCTCCCTCCTTGGAGGTCCTGGTCATTTCCTCTGAGGGACGCCCGCACTGCTTTTTGGTCCCTGCCCTCAAGACCTGGGACCCGCAGGGGCTTCTATTTACATGCCCTGTGCCCTCCGGACTGCAATGTCCCTTCTGGGTCAAGCATGAGTCTTATTCGTCTTGACAGCCCCAGGGCTCAGCCCAGAGCTCGGGCGGACCAGCCGCCGTCAGGAGGGGCTCCCGGAGCCCAGCACAAAACGGGTCAGTGACTACAGCGACGGGCCGAATCCACAGGCGTCCTGTCGTGGGCCCTGGGGACCTTCCTCACAACCCTCCTCGGGAGCCTTTGTCGTCCCACAGCTGACCGAGGCGCTCTGGGGCTAAGTCCTGGCCACTGGCCACCCTCCAGGAGCGCAGGGCTCAGACCCCACCCTGCGCAGGCTCCTCCCCCGGCGCTGGGGACGCACGTGTGGGCACCGTCCACCCTGCTGCGCGGCCTCCCGGGGTCCCTCATGGTCCCACCCTGCTATGCCAAGCGCCTGCGCTGATCCCCGGAACCTCGTCGGTGGGCTCCCCGTCCCCGTGGCCTCCCCTGGGCCTCAACCAGCGGAGGACCTGGCTGGGGCGGAGGGCAGGAGGAGGAGAGGGCGCGGCGCCTTCCTTCTCGGGGATGGGCTTCCAGGCGTCTCCTGGTGCTGGCCGTGTCCCTCGCTGCCCCTTCCCTTCCCCCTTCCCCCTCCTCTTTGCCCACTTCCTTCCCCCTCCCCGCCCCTCCCCCTTCCCTTCCCCCTGGGTCCCTCTCTGGCCCCTTCAGCCCTGGTGGCACTTGCTGCTGACCCCTGGTGCTTCCGGGTCCATCCCCAGGCCTCCCTGGCCACCTCACAGCCTTGCAAACGTCCCCTTAGTAAGTGCCCCTCCTTTGGGATCTGCCTTCTGGTTCCCGGGGACTCTACTACAGGGTCTCGTCTGGGCTCTGGTTTCGGTGTTAACAGGCAGATCTGAGCTGGCCGGGCCAGTGTCCCGCAGGGTGAACAAGCAGGAGCAGACTCAACCCATCACCGCGTTGTTCAACTATCGTTAAAAAAGAAAACAAAACAGCAAAGCCAGCCAGGTGCAGTGGCCCCCGCCTGAAATCCCACTGGGTCGGGAGGCTGAGGCAGGAGGATCCCGAGCTCCGAGCCAGCCTCAGCAACTTAGTGAGGCCCTAAGCAACTTAGACGGACCCTGTCTCTAAATCAAATATGAAAAAGGGCTGGGGATGGGGCTCAGTGGCTAAGCACCCCTGGGTACAATCCCCAGTATCCAAAAATCAATCAATCAATCAATCAATCAAAGGCAAAATCTCTAAAGGGTCAATCTTATACGAAAAGAAAAGTTGCTGGGCATCCCACACTCATCCCCTCCTATGCTATGCCTTTGGAAATGAGCCCACCACTACCCACATTTCCTGGGGGCCGTGCCCCTCTTCCATCTGCCTGTGAACTTGCATCACTGACTCGGGGCAGAGGCTCTGGGGCAGAGGCCAAGGGCTGCCAGGTGATCTGTCTACCCACGCAGAGGGAATGTCGTCCAGAGCCAAGGTGGCGTCCAGCTTGGACCCCACGTGATCCGCCAGGTGAGAAGTCTCCAACCAAACAGAGTCGTGTTTGAAATACGGAGGCTGCACTGAGCACGGCTGGAGGCTAACTAAGTGAGCACCTGGGAACGGTGTCCCCGTTCCCTGGGTGAGTGAGTAACTGTGGAAGCCACCTGACACCTTCATGGGGAGGTGTGCAGTGGGGGCCTGGGCAGGAGCTCCTGAGAAGCATTAAAAGGGGTGGGGCAGAAACAGCCACCACGCTGACTTGGGACAAGTCATGGGTCACTGGTCCCAGCAGGTACTGGGCTTTTACCACATGCGGCACAGCAGTGTCCCCAGGTGCTGGGACTCACTACTGGGCCTGAGGGGGCAGGGAGAAGAATCAGGGAGGAGAAATTAGCCCGGGGTTTCCTCCCTGTTACAGTCTCATCCTTAGCTGCATCTTAGCCTAGGCTGGAACATTCTGTACGAGTTGGCTTTGGTGTAAAAAGCCCAGTGGTTTCTATTTAAAAGAGGGTGTTAAAGCCAGGCGTGGAGGCTGGCACCCGCCTGTCATCCCAGTGGCTGGGGAGGCTGAGGCAGGAGGATCGAGAGTTCAAAGCCAGCCTCAGCAACAGTGAGGCCCTGAGCAGCTCAGTGAGACCCTGTCTCTAAATAAAATACAAAATAAGGCTGGGGATGGGGCTCAGTGGTGGAGTGTCCCTGAGTTCAATACCTGGTACACCCTCTGCAAAAAAGAGGGTGTTAGAAATCTATCGACCCCTTCATTATGTGAAGAGTCTCTCAGGTATCAGCTCAGTGGGGCAGCTGGAGTCTCCTTGTCTCCCTAAGTCCTAACACAGAGGCGTCCCTTGATTGCTATCTGTCAAGTGGGCAAGCAAGGCCAGAAGGGCAGCTGACCTGTCTGTGGCACTGACCCATTTGGTGGCACCTGGGACTGGACCCCTCCTCTCCTGACTGGTGAGCAGTGTTTCCTTGTCTCTGAGAGAACATGGCTTTTAAAAAAAAATAATAACAAGGTCCTTGGGCCAAGAATCTGTAAACAGAGGATTGACAATCGGCAGCGTAATTGATTAAAGGTCTCCGACATCCTTCTCCGGGGTGAGCCTTCTCCAGGCACCTGCAGTCTGAATGCAAATGCGGCCTTGGCAGGAGCCCAGGGATCCCTGTCTCCTGGGTGACACACAGGCCAGGGCTGGGCCGAGCACTTAGACCTGGACAAGGGAAGGGAGCAAACAGGGTCTGTTTTACAGGACAGAGGAGCTTCCTCTTAGAAGCTGGGTGACAAGGTCGGCCTGATAACCCAAGTTGGCTCCCTCATTTCTGTGTCCTTGGTGACAAAGTTCCTGACTCCTCCAGCCCCAGATTCCTCATCTGTCATCTGGCAGTGACAGGAACCTCAGAAAGTCATCGTGGGCGCCGGGTACGCTGAACAGGTAGCCGAGGACCTGGCACCTAGGAAGGCCACCCGAGAAGTGCCCGTCATTCAGCTTACGGTCCCTCCCTGGGAGCAGCTCCAGCCCTGTGCATCCCATCAGCTGGCGTCTGGCTAGGGACCAGCTCAGAAGGCCAGGCCCCCGGGTGGCAGCGTTTAAACGTGTGTCTCTGCACCAGGGTCCTGTGGGGCTCCCTGGACCAGGTCAACACCTTCTTAGGTCCACGCACAAGCCTTTCACGCTCTGCCCCGGGTCTGGGCATGCCCACTCTCCTGGGGGGGGGGGAACCAGCAGGAAGAGTTGTCACAAGGGGCCTTCGGCGTTCCCAGGGCCACCCCGCCACGAAGCAGGGGACCGTTCTGTGTGGGTCCATCTGTGAATACGACAACTTAGAAGTGTGTCCCCAGGTGCAGCCACCAGCTCCAGTTAGGCCCAGACCTCTCGACGCGTGCTCCCAATTTTAGCCAGCTTATGAAAGAACGTGTGCTGGGAAAGGTCCGGCTCACTCTCGAGCCGGCAATAGAGGACGCTTTTCCAGAACCTTCATCTCCTGTTGACCCAGCTAGAACTGTGTGCTGTGAGCGGATCCAGAGGTCAGAGGGCACCATGGACCTCTCCGCACCCACCCAACTCCCAGCCGGTGCGACACAGGGCGGCCACAGACCCTGGGCCAGGGATAGAGGGGGCCAGTGTGCCAGGCAGCACAGTGCCCTCCGTGGATAATGCGCTCGCTCCAGGCCTGGGGGACCCACTTAAAGCACCCCTCCATTAATCTCAGGAGGCTGGAGCCGCAGTCCAAGTCACAACACCCCCCCGCCCCGACCGCCACCTGGCCTTCCGAGCATGAGGCCACGTGTCCAGGCGGGAAGGCCCGCTGCACTCGGGCCCGATTCCCCAAACGGCCCCGTGTGATGGTTCCTAATTTGAACAGGTGTCTCAGGGAACCTCACCTGGAGCTGAAGCTACTCTCTCCCCTTGAGTGGGTCTGACTCCCAATGGAGCTCAGTTTGAAGAAGTATCACAAACCCATCCCTCGGACCCAATCCAGACCTGTTACTCCAGGAAAGGGACAATTGAAAACCCAGATCATGGTGGCCCACGCCTGTCATCCCAGTGGCTCAGGAGGCTGAGGCAGGAGGATCAGGAGTTCCAAGCCAGCCTCAGCCACAGCGAGTCCCTAAGCAGCTCAGGGAGACCCTGTCTCTCAATAAAATGCAAAATAGGGCTGGGGATGGGGCTCCGTGGTCGAGGGCCCTGAGTTCAATCCCCGGTAGGGAGGGGGGACCCAGGTCATTGTGGAGATGCCAAGTGGGGAAGCATCCCGGCTGGCACTGAGGGGCAGAGGCTGGGGCAGCTCTGGACGGTGTATCTACAACCTAGAACCACTCGGACTTCTTTTCGCAGCTGCTGATCTGTGGACTTGGTCTGCGGAGGGAGAGCGTGCATTTGTGAGTGTTGATTCTTTGAAATGTATTGAAACTCCTGCGCAGGCAACTCCCCACCTGGTTTTCCCATTCCTGGGACAGGAGATTTGAAATCGATGCTGGGTTTCACTCTCTAACCCACACTGAGGCCTTGAGCCAGGGTCACGGGCCGCACAAGGACGGTGGGAAATGCTTCCCGAGAACTAGCCTGGGGCGGGGCTTGGGACTCCTGCCCTGTTTGGTTTCACGTTTCTGACATTTTCCTTTTCTTTTTTTTTGTACCAGAGATTGGGATCAGAATCATTCCACCACTGAGCCCCGTCCCCAGCCCTATTCTGTATTTTATTTAGAGACAGGGTCTCCCTGAGCTGCTTAGGGCCTCACTGTTCCTGAGGCTGGCTTGGAACTCCTGATCCTCCTGCCTCAGCCTCCTGAGCTGCTTACTCATTCATTCACACACACACACACACACTCACACACACACATACGGAATGCAGGCCCCACAGAGGCAGTTCCGTCCTGAGCTCGTCCCTGTTCCTCAGCAGCTGAGCCAGCATCTGAGCCACGGCCTGAACGCGAGCTTCTGCCTGGGTTTAGGGAAGCTGCCCGATGCCTCTTCATCTGCAGTAATGATGACAAGAAGCCAGTGGAACAACTCAAGTACCCAGGAGGGCATCTGGCCTGCACTTGGTCAGGATTCATCAAATGAATGAATGAACACGGCTGGGGGCGAGCCTCCCCGGTGCACAAGGTACCCTGCTAAGGAGCTGTATATTTTCACTTCTTATTACTCATCTGTCTTAAAGATGAAGAGACCGAGGGTCAGAGAGATGGAGTCACGGCCTCCCCAGCTCTTCCCTGCCTCCGACTGCCGCCGTCCTGCACCCTGCCCTGGCATTTCCACGCACAGGGCCTGGTGGGCAGCAGTCCCTCCACACCTTACGGCCCCCTGAGCCCCACATGAGGTCCCTTCCCACTGGAGGGACTGTGTGGAAGTTACAGACCCAGCCAAGGAAGGAAAGTCAGAAGCCCCGCAGGGAGGAAGATTTGAGGTCCCAGAGGCAGAAGAGCACGAAAGGCCGACAGGAATCTCGAGTTGAGGCTGCTTCCTGGGTCCCAGAGCTGGAACCCAGAAGAGATGCACCAGAGCAAAGGGTGCGCTGGAGGAGAGGCAGGTCTGGGGTCTCTACAGGACGAGGTGAGGGCAGGTCCCCCCAAAGCCCGAGGAGATCGCCTAGAGGCAGACTCTGAAGTGACCCTCACCCTGGGTGAGAAGTCGGCCCCGCTCTCCTTCATGCCCTCTGCCGGGTCCCCACACTGGGCTGCCCCTCTGCCTCTCCCACCGTCTTTTGTCCTCGTCACCTTCAATTGTTACAAAAGCAAACCTCCGCTGTGCATTTGGAAAATGGCTGAGATCCCAGGACCCAGAGCCACTCATTCCCCTTATCATGAATCCAAATGCTCCGGAGTTTCCATTAACGGAACAGCCGCCCGGCGCCCAGCAAGCCCCATGGACAAAGGCCTTGTAATTGCAGAAGTAGGTGGTGGAGGGGGATCCTAAATGGAGTCCTGAGCTGACAGCCACGGCAACGTCACTGGTTGCTATTTCACCTGCAGCTTGGCGGCTGTGCAAACTAGCAGGGGACAGTGATATGCTCGGAAGTCCCTTTTGCATTAAGTGAAGACTTGAGGCCACGCTCTGTATTCAGAACATGAGGTTTCAGATCCACATGGCATCTGCTACACTGCTGCCCAGCATGGGCATCTTTATTGGGAGAGTTGGAGGTGACAGCTCTCCAAGTAGCCAGGACCAGCCCAGGACTGCAAGACTTTCTAGAATTAGGCACTGAAGCCAGGCACAGTGGGCACGATCCAGCAGCTCGGGAGGCTGAGGCAGGAGGATCGTGAGTTGAAAGCCAGCCTCAGCCACAGCGAAGCCCTAAGCCACTCAGTGAGACCCTGTCTCTAAATAAAACACAGAATAAGGCTAGGATGTGGCTCAGGGGTCGAGGTCCCCTGAGTTCAATCCCCGATACCAGAAATTAATTAATTAATCAATCAAAATAAGGGGTTCAAAGTCTGTAACTTGTAGGAGCAAAATCTCCTAACGTGGCTCTAACATGGCCAGGGGTGCGTATGGGCGTTCATCCTGCAAGTTTTAGAAAATGCAAACAAACTTGGGGGAAGATAAAGCAAGTCCTCCAGTGTTGGAATGTGTTTTGGGTTTGGTTTCTTTTTTGGTGACACAGGTCTTCCTGGACAGAGGTGTCTGGTCCCTCCCACGGGTAACCAGAGCTGGCTGCTGGTGCTCTCGGGCTCCCTTCCGGGGCCGCACCACACCTGCGGCAAGAGAGCAGCCTCTGCTCCCCCTGCTCCCCCTGCCAGGAGGAGGCGAAAGAGGCAACGGCAGACCTGGGTCAGGCTCTGCTACTGGGCCGTGTGCCCTTGACCTTGAGAGGAGGGTCCTCCCAGGGACAGAAGGTGGCACCCCAAGGTCTGAGGTTTGGCCACTCCGGCTGCAGCACAACCAGCCTTGCCGAGGGAAAGACCAGGAAGGAGGGTCACTTTGCAGATGAGGGGTGAGACTCAGTGCAGCCTGCCTGTGGGTGGCTGGTAGCCAGTGGGTGGCTGGTGGCCTGTGGGTGGCTGGTAGCCAGTGGCTGGCAAGTATTGGGCCATCTACAGGCTCCTAGTGCAAAGCTAGTCAAAGAAAGCCTCCCCTGCTCCCTGGGCTGCCATGGAGGTGGGATGGGGCCAAGATGATGGGCAGCTGTGGTAAGGACAGCTGAGATGGCCGGGCAGCGCCTGGGAAGATGACGCTTGGGCCACCCGCAGGGTGGACGGCCTGGGGAACAGCAGGCTCTTTCACCGAGTGCTGACCCGCAGCCTGTGGCAGGAAGCACGCTATCCTCTGAGGAAGGACACAGGTGCTGACCTTGACCTTGGGTGGCCTCCCAACCCTTGCCCTCTACATCTGCCTCTTGGAGCTCCTTCTGTGGAGTGGCCCCCCTTGTCTGCAGGAGCTCAGCTCACACTGTGTCCCCAGCACTGTCCTCCCTGACTCTCGTCCACGATGTCCTTCAGCTCCCGCAACCCCACGGGTGGGCACTGGGTAGACACCTCGAATCCTTCGGTCAAGAATGACCACCTGTTGGTCATTTACTGTTCATCCTAATGGAACTCGGTCACTGTGCACATGAGGGGGTTGGAATTCACTGGGCGACAGCTTCCCCCAGATCACTGTCTGCCACGTGCCCTGGCCTGGGGCTCGGCAAGCTGCACCAGATGGACTCGGGTGACAAGGAGACTCGTGGGGTAGCTCCCGCCTGTCCCCATCCCAGCAGGCCAGCCACACCTCCAGCCCCTGAGGCCTGTGGGTCCCCCTGAAGCCACGGCCCCAGGCCCACTGCAGACCTGAGGCTCCCCGAGGTGACGCCCACCTGCCGTGTCCAGCCCCAACCGGCCCCAGCCCATTACCTCTCGGCATCGCTGTCGCTGGACGCCACCTCCTCCAGGGCCGCCTGCAGGTCGGCGATCCGCCGGATGGACGTCTCTAGGTCTGACTGCAGGGTCTGCCTCACGGCTGCGAGCTCCTCCACGTACTTCTCCTGGGGACACAGACCATAGTCCACGCTGAGCCACCCACTCCTGAGTCCTCACGGAGCCCACGCCGGAGCCGAATACCAGAGGAGCCTGTGGGACCCCGAGGACGCTCCATGTCGGACAGAGGGGGTGGGATTTGGGGACCTCTAGCACAGCCAGGGACGGTCCTGGTGCAGCAGGTTGGGGAAAGGGCGCATAGGGACGGTTTCCTTGCCACTCTGTCCCCTGGACGCCCCCACCTTTCTGTCCTCAGCAGCAGCAAAAGCCAAGATGGAAAACCCAGCAGCAGACCCACGGGGCTGGCACTTATGGAGGGCCTCCTGTGGCCAGCACGGCGTGCGGTGCTCCTGCCCTCATGCCCCCAACCTGCATGTGGTCATGATTATGGCTCCCATTTTACAGATGGCAACCGAGGCCTGAGGATGTGAAGCCTTAATTTGAGCATGGTCATCTCTTAGTGCTCATTCTGCTGCTCAGTACTCCCTGTCGCAGACCTACTCAGATTCTGTTCTGACTCTGGAGAATCTCTGATTGCCGCGGGCAGCCCGTTTCTTCCCGCTCCCTTAATGCCGTGACCTTCCACGGAGGGTGACCTTGCCCTCACTGGGGACATTTGCCAATGTCACAACTTGGGTGCTGCTGGCACTGAGTGAGTAAAGGGCAGGGGGAACTGTGTGGCCCAATTGTCCCCAGCGCTGGGCCTGCCCCCGGGCTAGACCCAGAATCCAGGTTCTGGAAGCGAATCCCGACGGGGACAAATCAAAAGGGAGGCAAAGCTCTGAGCCCCCAGAGGTGGGAGCGGTGCTGTGGATGAGGGAGGGGCTGAGAGGCCCCGTCCCCAGCCACTGGCCACGATGAGGGAAGTCACCGCGGGTCCCTACGATGCCATGAGTCAGACTTTAACGCGAGCCCTGAGGACCGCGGTGGTGGGAAAGGCTCTGGGAAACCAGGTGAAGCCACAGAACAGAGGACAACACGCCAACCCAGGCCACCAGGCAGCCGCGCACAGGGACAAGGTGCCAAGCTCACTTTGCGCTGTTGTTAAAGGGACCCCGCCTGATGACGGGGGAGGGTTTACCGTCAGATATCACTGCGGTTCCCAGCTCCCGGGGAACCCCCTGGCTGTGTGACTGCGAGCAGCTCGCCACCCTCTCTGGGCCTGAAATCTATTTTTTTCTGCTTTGACGAGGAACCTGAGGCCAGAAGGGTCATCTCAGGCTCTGCGATGCCCCAGAGGAGGCCGGGACGTTATTGTGACGTCAAGTGACTGTGGGTCTTTTCTAATTCTGGAGAGAGAGGAAGAGGCTGTTGGCAAAGGCTGGGCAAGTCCCAGGGCCAAGCCCGGCTGCGGAGAAGAGCGGGGCTGGGCGGGAAGCAGAGGCGGCCTGAGGAGGGGTGGCCGTCCCTTCCCAGCCCTGCTCGGGTGCACTGTGCCCCTGTCAGCATCACGCAGTGGCCTCGAATGTCTGAAGTTCAACCCTGAGGGAGTCTCCTGGTAAGTGGACAAGAGGGACAGAGACAAGTGCTCTGTTGCTCAATGCTGTGTGACCTTCAGCAAGTGACTCAACCTCTCTGACCCTCTGTTGTCTCATTGGTAAAAGGAGGGTGGCAATCATCCCTCCTTCAAAGGGCTCTTTGGGGAGTAAATGGACTTGGTCCAGTGGGAAGGCTCAGTGAATGGTGGCATCTGTATCATTCAGTTCTCAGAGGAGGGTAAGGAGACTGGAAGGGGACATACTGTCCTTACGTCATGGAGGAGACTTGCTAAGGTCACACACCAGTAATGAGCCTGGAGGGCAGGACTCCGGCTCCAGAGCCCTGCAGAGAGAAGACCAGGGTGACAAGCAAGGGTGGCCAGGGGCATGAATCCACAGGACGGAGGGGGAGGCCGGGAGCAGGGAAGCCATCCATAGACCAGGGGACAGGGACCCGGGACCTGCCACTAGCGCCCACCCTCCACGCGGCCCATCTGCTGGGGCCGCATCAGACTCTGTGGGGCGCACAAGGAGCGGCCTGGGAGCCCAGCCGCTGTGGCCAGCAACCAGCAGATCCCCCGGCTTCCCTGGACACCCAGCGGAGGCTGCTGAGGGTAGAGACCGAGTCACTAAGAACAGGACACAGCGGCCTCCCTGGGGCAGACGGAGCAAGGCCCCACCAAGACCCCCGAGACCAGGGAGGAGGACACAGGAGAGGGGCCACGTGGGAGCACCCCGTCCTTCTTCACCCCCACACAACGGGCCGTGGACCCTGGCGGGCTGGCCACCACCAACATGATGCTCAGGGCCCACAGCAGAGGCCCACAGACGGACAGGTGCCCAGAGGAACAGGAGCCTGCGTGTGGTGGTCCGGACGCTGTCACAGACACGCGGCCCCCGTACAGGCTGGTGGGGTCACAGATCCGTCCATCCCGGGAACGTTCACTGAGCCCCTACTGTGGGCCGGCTCTGGTCTAGGCCCAGCCGCTGTACCCTTCTGATGGCACGGGGCTTCCTTTGCTGCGGGGACCTGATCTCCCTGACCCTGGGGCGTCTGGTGTGTAGCAGGCACCCGGCTAGGACGGGGATGGACGAACAGACAGACACTCGCTGATGCGTGACCCGGAACGCACATGCTCTGAGCCCAGGCTGCTCCCCCAGAAGCACGAGGCATCGAGGTGGCCGCGCGGGAAGCGTTTTGTATGATAATTAATGAGTGCAACTAAGCCGTCTCCTCTCACGATGTTCAATTAGGTTAATATTTAGAGCCGTTGTTTGTTTGTCTCTCCGCCCTGAGCCTGTCTGTCTCCGAGGCCCGCTGCCGTCTGCAAGTGCAGGACTCTCCCAGGTCAGTGTCGGTCCCCTACCCCGCCGGGCTCTCCAGGTTCATGTCACCCAGGCCGCGATATTTACCCTACAGATCAATGGATCTCAGAGACGCTCGGCCCCTGGTGGAAATGCACTGTTATTTTTTTCTGATTCATTAAAGATGAGCAGAGCCTCCTGGTCAGGCCAGGGCAGTGGCCAGGGCTCACAGACTTCGACAGCCCCAGCGTCTGGCACCTGCCTTAATAAACAGGAAGCATCTATTGATCAGCATCTGTGTGATCGGCCATTGGCCATCCCCCTCCTTCACCTCGAGAACCACAGACCTGGATTTGCACCGTCTAAAGTACCAGGCTGCTCCCCGCCCCCCGCGAACCTTGATCACAACACATCGAGTCTGTCCTCTTGCTTAATAAAGGAGCGAACGTGCACAATGAATGTCGTAGAGCTCACAAATGAATGAATGTGCCCATTTATACTCCTCCCATCCACAGGGGCTCTGCTACACGGTTAAAATATCTCATCTCACTTCATGGTTATGAGGGCCCTTAGAGCCAGGTACTAGGGAGAGAAAAAGTGACTCGAGGTCTTTGCAAAAAGGCGGTGGCAATGGTGACTTCTCTCGGAGAGATCACGAGATTCTCACTTTCCCCTTCTTCATTTCTCCAGAAATTCTGCAGAGGATGTGAATCCGCTTTATTATCAGAGTCAAACCCACAGAGCCTCGTTCCTCTCACACCAGGGTGCACGATCCCCGCGTCCACCTGCTCCGTGTCGAGAGGCATCTGGGTCCCTCACTGTGCCCATCCACAGAGGAGCAGGCTGAGGCTCAGGGGCTAGGCCACTGCCTCTAGCTGCCCCTGCTCCCTCCGGGGATGCCCGCGTCTCTGGAGGTGCGGGAGTCGTGCCAGAAAGCAAGGTCCTAAGGAACTGTCACTCTTCCTTCAAATTGTCCCAGGGCCACCTGCCTGGGAGAAAAGAGGCTGCTGGGGAAAATCGGGGGCCCATGGATGGTGTCCTGGTAGGGGCCCCGAAGCCATCGCAGTGGAACGCATGAGAACCAGGACACAGCGTCAGTCCCACTGGGGAAAGGGAGGAGCTGGGGGGCTCAGAGAACCCTAAAGGTCTGCACAGATCCTCTTAGTAAGATTGGAACAGCCCGACTCCCGGCAGGAGCAAAGATGGGGCCAGTGGTCATCGCTGTCTGAGGTCTTTTGCCCATAATCGTCCTGCCAACTCATTGTTTTATTCTATTTTTATGATCTTATAATAGACACAGAGAGCCTCGTCAAAGATCCTGGTGGAGTCCGTTTTCAGCTGCTATAATAGAACACCTGGGGCAGGGTGATTTATATGGAAAAGAAGTTTCTTTTGGCTCAGGGTCTAGAAGTTGGCAAGCACAGCACAGCATCCGCTTGGCTTCTGGTGACGCCATGAGCTGTTCGACATGTGGCAGAAAGATGGAAAAGCAGAAGGGGAGAGGACAAGTGTGGCAGAGCAGCCCAGGTTCAACAGAGCAAGGGCAGGGGCCAGGTGCTTTGTGACAACCCCCTATGTATTTATTTATTTATTTGTACCAGGATGGAACCCAGGAGTGCTTCACCCCTGAGCCACATCCCCAGCCCTTTTCTTATTTTTTGACAGGGTCTTGCTAAGTTGCTTAGCACCTGTCTAAATTGCAGAGGCTGGCCTCTAAGTTGCAATCCTCCTGTCTTAGCCTCCTGAGTCACTGGGATTACAGGTGCATGCCACCACATCCGGCCTGACAACCTACCCTTAAGGTAAACAATAAGGTCCCCCCCAAATGTATAGTTCATTCCCACAAGAAAAGCCATCAATCACCCATCGCCTCTGACAGGTCTCATCACCTCTCAGCACCAGACCTGGGCACCCACCCTCCATATGAGTTTTGGCGGGCACAAGCCAGATTTAAATCTTGGCAGAGCCCAGAGACACACAGCCAGAGGGCGGCAGGGTCAGGTCAAGCCTTTGCATTTTCCACAGCCCCTTCCCTCGTCACCATGGCCGCTGTGTTGAGCCAGTCCCTGCTCAGACCAGGTCGCCCGGGGTCAGAGGCTCTTCTCTGAACTGCCAAGGTGGGTACCTGAACCAGCGCTGCCTCTGGGCCAGCCTCGACCCGAACCCCCTACGCCGCCGGCCTGGCATGAGCCCCATCCTCCTGGGAATGCCTTCCAAATCCTCAA